TTCGCAAAGCAAAATGACTAAACACTATCAGAAACATATACATAATTTTTCAAATAGCTAGCCATTCAATTTCAAATGAATTCAAATTTTCCTTTCAGCAAACAGACGCAACAATCAAATACAGTGATTAAATATATGTACAAAACACATGCAGTAGCATTTAAAGGAGTAAATTAAATTCAATTCTTTTAATTTAAACGGCTACAAATAGGAAAATTTCGCGGAAAGTTCAAAGCATTTTTTAATTTTAATTCAAAGTATTTTTTAACTAAGTGCTCGACCAAACCCAATCTAATACCCCTTGACAGCGTGATTCAACGCTCCAAGGGGGCCCTAATCTTCCCACCACCAAGGTAAGGCCACATGGCGTGAACCCGAGATAAATAGAGCACAACCTCTAACAGTCGCCACTCGGGTTGTACGCCTTCACTGAGGCCGTCGGCAACAGAACATTTTGACAAGTGGACTGTTGACGGCTTAAGGCTCAGTGGAGGCGGCCGTGGTGGGAGCTAAGGCGGCAGCTAGCCAGGGCCGCCTCCATCAAATGGGGAACAGTGGTACACAGTCGCGGCCACTCAGCTAACGGGAGTGAGAAGGGTCCAGCGGACCGATGAGTGGCCGTGAAGTTCCTCTCCACACGCTGAGGGGGGGTGATGACACCCCCGCCCCTGGGGGAATTACCCCCCGACTGGTCGGGGGAGGGGCCCTTTTCAAACATAGGGGCCTGTGGCTGGCCGGCGAGCGCCGATGGTTGCCCAGCAGAGGGCGTGACTGAGTGCCCCCGCCCGTGGGGGTCGAGGGCCTGGCAGAGCCCCGAGAGGAGACGCCGTTCGCACCCAGGCACAAAACTGCATGGTGATTGCCCTGGCAATGCAGACAGGGCCGTCGATGCGGATAGTCCCGCTGGAGGTGCCCTCCCAGACATGAACAGCACCAGCGGTGCTCCTTGGCGATAGTTCGCCTCGCCGAAACCGGCTTACCTAATAATTTCGGGCACAACGTTACCCGGTGATCAGATGCTCGACAATAGGAGCAGGGGGGGAGGTTGACGACGACTTGCCTGGCGGGTTCAGCCTCTCACTGGGCACGTCTCGAAGTCGTCAACGGTGCCCGCCGCGTTCTCGATCTGCCGGCACTGCTCCTCCAAAAACCGCAGCAGGTCATAGAAGAGCGGAATATAGAAGGCCTCGTCCTCGCCGTACCTCTCCTCAAAATGGATTCGAAGGTCGAGAGGTAGACGGGACAGCACGATGCGGAGCAACAAAAAAGCCCATTCGCCCACTGGTAATTCCAGCCGCCTCAACGCAATACAGGCCACCAAGACTGGATCCAACAGGTCCGGAGGTAGTTTGGCCCGGTCACTAAGCAGCGGGATGCTTAGAAGCTGCTTAACATGTTCGTCCGCAATTCGCCGGACGTTGGCGTATCTTCTGGCTAGGAGGTCCCGAGCAGTCTGGTAGGCGTCGTCCAACAATCTCAAGTGGCAGACGACGCCCAGGGCCTCCCCCTCCAGTGAGGCCAGGAGGTACGCCATCTTTTGGCTCGGGGTCAAGTCACTCCGGGCGTCCACTAGGCTGTCGAAAAGACCAACGAAGGTCAGCCATTCGGAAAGGACCCCGGAGAACTTTGGCAGGTCCAGAGTTGGGAGTCGTCCCAACAGCTCCGGCTGAAGCTGCTTCAGAGAGGACTCGGACAGGTCACTCCTCCGAGCTTCACGCGCCTTCTCGGCATACCTGCCTTCAGCCTCGATCAACTCGTCCGTGAGCCACAAGAACTGCTCATAGTCCGCAAAGCAGGAGTCCAGGGCTCCCTTCTCCACATCTGAATCCCCGAGCTCAGCGTAAGCCTCCTCCACCGCGGCCCTTCGAGCATCCACCTGCTCGAACCGCTTCATCAAGTTATGGACCCTATCCGGTCGACCTAACAAAGCATGGGCGCTTGTGGCCCAGCGTAACTCAGTCCGCAGGCAACGGATTAGTAGCTTGGGCGATGACATCACTACTAAATACAAATAACGACGGGGTTCGAGCACAAATTACAAAGATAACAAATAAAATACAACAAAAATTAACAGTTAATAAATGCAGTTCCTATCAAATCGCGTTGAATAGAAATTACACAAATACGATTTACTACGTATCAACCAAATACAAGTTAGCACAAAAGAAAAGACACAAATCAAATTAACAAATAACAAATACTAGTGCGATCAAATCAAGTTAAATTCAAATTGCGCAAATACAATTACTACTCTTTAGCTCAAATACAACTTACAGTATAAACGAAGATACACATCACGGTCGATCAACAAAAAATGCCTAGCTCGGAAATCGACCCTTCGATAAGTAATCCACTACAACTATCCGACAACGATAATTAACCGATTACGTAAAAATAACCATCTAACTACATGACGTATATCTCTAGAAAAACTCCCGCTTGCGCAACCTAGGGCGCGGCTTTTCAACCAACCCACTAACCAAAAAAAAAGCAAGCAACAAAGCAACAAAGGGAAATAATTCTATTATTACGTACAATAAAAATATTTTTACGTATTACGGACGGGCGTAATTGTAGATACAAGTTAAACCAATCAAACCAACGCTCCCTGCCACCAGAATTGTTTAATTTTTATCAAACACTATGGTCGGGATCGACCGGGGAATCGAACCCGGAACCACGCTCTGCTACCAGTTTGTTACGGCCTACGGCTGCTCCCTTAAAGGATCAAATCATCAGGGGCCCATGAGCTGAAGACTTCCCGAGCAGACGTAGGTCGGGCCTCAATGTGGCCACGTGGAATCTCTCTAATTACACTAAAAATATGGGGGAGCGTTCTATAATACGGCCATTCGACCGGGAGGAATTTGGACGTAGCTTACTTACCTATATCCAAGGCGTCTGGTCCCTCCGGAGTCGGTCAGGTCGCATGTGGTTGTATAGTGCAAGGAAAATAAAGTGATGTGATGTGTATCTGGGTGTGACTGATATTGATTGAACCTAGACCTTGGCCGTCGGCAGCAGCCCGAGCGTCGACACCTCTCCAACTTGAGGCCTTCCGAGTTTGTCCACAGTCACTTTCCTCCTTTGTCACGATGACAGTCCATTAACTCTATCGTACGATTTACTAACTTACAGAAGCCACTAACTATCGCTGTTATAAAGTTAAAGCACAAAACGCACACGGAGTTTCTGGGTCATAGGTCACTACCGTTTTGCGTTGCAACAGTTAGTTCTCGAATATCAGAGGCCGCTCTAACTAATATTGTCGAATGCACTTGTACAGATTCTGAGTCGGACCCAATAAGTCCCGGGGAAGCTCTCCAGTAGGGATATGCGCCACAAAATTCCTAGACCGTAATTTTACTGTCCGCGCTTAATTATTCCGAGTTCCCGCGCTTAATTGGCAGCGTGCCAATCGTTAGCACAGCTGACAGACGACTGACTTTTCGCTCGCGACTCGCCCGCTCTTGCCACGCTCGGCCGAACTTCAAACCAGTTCGCACCGAGCCGAGTGCCCTCTGGCGTCGATTCTTGACATTAGCGTTTGGCGCGAACAATCATACATTTGTGATCTCTGGAAGCAGAGCCATATGATTTCTGTAATATGTCTAATGGCACCATTCACCAGACCTTTGGTCAGTCAAAGATTACAAACCAATGCTACAGACTCGAGCAATTCGACCTCAATATCATATTTTAGGACTCCAAAAACCCTATTACACCAACATTTCAGACGGATTGACATCATGTTACACCCTGATGCCACTCAGTCCTCGACACGGCCTCACCTTGACTCGGGTGTTTGTAGGAATGCACTACTTATTTCAGCTTGAAGCTTACTTGTGCCGTACGAAATACAGTTCCAGGTTCGATTTTGGAGTTACCCTTCCTCTAGATAGGTTGCAAACTAATGCTGTTGACGCCTATCTCGTCAAATTACACAAGTCAAAGTTAACCAACCGTTGCTACAGACTCGAACAATTCGACTTCAATATCATAATCGTGGACTGCAAAAACCCCAGTACAACAAAATATCAGACGGATTGGATCAACCGAGTTTATGATCACCATCTTATTTTTGGTTAACTCGCATTCGTATTCTCAGCAAGGCCTTTACTTTGATACCCATATTGTATGAAAGTATAAAAAACTTAGTCCGCCATCTTTAGAAGTCCGCCATAATGGACTTAGAGTGACGTCAATTTATTTTTCGAGTTACACTAAGCAAGCCCTTTCATTTGGTATCCATATTGTAGGAGTGCATTAAAAATAACTAGCCCGCCATCTTGGGTACTCCGCCATGTTGGATTTAGAATGACGTCACATAGCTAAACATGCATTATCATCCAAACTTAACGTGTATATACAAAATTTCAGCTCAATCGATTTAAGATATCTGCTTCAAAATTGAGTTGCTAAATTCCACCCGAACAAACATAGTTACATTGCAAGTTAAATATAAGCTTGTAAAAAAGCTTGTAAAAACTTATATGTACCGTCGCAATCAGCGTTTTTTTTTTATTCTCGATCGTTATCAGCCTCAGAGAAGTTAGCGATAAATTTAGAAAGCATATGATCAAAGCTAAAAATAAATCTAATACACATCATAAAAAATAAGACTAATGTGAGACACAGTAAATATTATTAATAGAATCAGGCGTTACTTTGCGGAAATCCATTATATAAAAGCTTTTACAAAAATTTACTTCGCAAATATCCGCGTTATAAAATAAAATGTTGTGTCTTACCTAGTATGAAGAGCACCTCCCGCCCTCTCTCAATTGCGTGCACTATCCCCGTCCACTAATCCCAGCACCGCTACTCCCAACACCACTACACTAGGCAAGACACACCACTGACGATAATACTATAGTAATTATTTGCTGTGTAGCATGATGAAGTGTCAAGTAGCGTCAACTTGTTTATTAATTACTTGAGGCGTAACACGAGTTACAGATAAGGAACAAATAAAAATAATTTTACATGACTTCCTTCTACTGCCCACGATTGGCCTCTCACGCACGAATCGTATGATAAATAACATTAACAATTACTATTTCTGGCCAAGCATGTCAAACGACATCAAGAAATATGTCAAAAAATGTAGAAGTTGTCAAATACAAAAGTTCTCAAATAAGAATACCCAAGAACCCTTTACAATTATGTCTACAGCTGATTCAGCCTTTAGTAGGATAAGTATAGATACGAGTATAATGGGCCCTCTAGGTATAGAGAATTATAATAATAAGAAACATAAACAGAAACTTTTTTATTCAATATAGATTATAAATAATACTTATTGAAAGTCACTCTTTTGTATAATTACCACTGGTTCGAAAAAAACCTCTATCCTGGGAAGAACCAGCAAGAAACCCAGCGGGACATTTTTTTTAAATAACAGCTTACAATCATGTATATGTTACACAAATTAACAACACAACAAATTAGATATAGCTTGGTAGTTATCACCTCATTTCCCGGGGTTATTATCATCTATAAATTATTTAATATTATAATAACCCTTTTTATACAAACTTAGTTTAAAAAAGTTTCTGAACTTTGAGCAGGTCAAATTTTGTATATTTTCTGGAATTTTGTTGTAAAAGCGTATAAATTGCCCCAAGAATGAATTTTTGTGTACGTACATTACATTTTCATAAATGTATCAAGAGGCCAAAGTTAATATATTAATTTCCTTAAATTTTTGTCGCAGCGACTCTTTAGGCTTTAAATCATAAATTGCTCTTATGGCCCTCTTCTGTAAAACAAATATAATTTCAGTGTCAGCTGCGTGTCCCCATAGCAAAATACCATACGACATTATGCTATGGAAATAGCTAAGGTAAACTAGTCTAGCTGTTTCAACACTAGTTAGACTTCTAATCTTTTTTACGGCATATGCTGCAGAACTATGTCTGCTTGCTAGTTTTGATATATGGGGGCTCCATTGAAGCTTCGCATCTAATGTGATTCAGTTTCTCCCCATTTAAAATTACATTAGTATTTAATAGTTTGACATTTGGAGTCATAAATTTCATACATTTCGTTTTAGTGCCATTTAAATGCAAATTATTAACATTGAACCAATTTACTAATTTCGATATAGCATTATTTACTACGTCATATTTTAGCAATTGTCGACTTAATTTGAAAATTAAAGAAGTGTCATTTGCAAATAATAATATGTCATGGTTATCTCCTACTATGTAAGGTAAGTCATTAATGTATACAAGAAACAGAAAGGGGCCGAGAATTGAGCCTTGACGCACGCCCATTTGTACCATCGACCCGGAAGAACTCATTCTGTAAATGACAACTTTTTGCGTTCTCTTACTTAAATATGAAATAAATAATTTAAGAGCATCACTTCTTATACCGTAGTTTTGAAGTTTCCTGATTAATGTTTCATGGTGAACTATACTATACTTCATTAAATCAGGAAACACACCAGATTCGATACTAGTATTAAAAATAATAGCTAAATGAGGCGCGATTGTATCTATTATAGACGCAATAACATTAACGGAAATCCCCCACAAATCCGCAGTTTTCTTAACATCAATACTTTTAAAATATTTTACAATATCTTCTGATGATACTTTATGAAATGTAAAATTCTTTGTACACGCATTTACATTTTGTTTAAGTAACAGTGGTAGAGCCAAGCGGTAGCTTTTGCTGTCGCACGGATGGGCCAGCTCGATCGTGGTGGTACCACGACCTCACAGAATACCAGCGTGAAGTAGAGGTTTACCTCTGCGTTGCGCTTGGTGAGTGCAGGTGGTCGGAGCCCCCCCCCCCCCCCTTCCCCATCAACATGGTAGTGGAATTAAATAAAAGACTACCCCAGGAGGGTACCAGCACCCTTGGAGAATCCTTCGCTGAGCATCCACGACCAAACTACTTCACTCCTGAGCGTGGATGCTCAGGCTGCCCCACGTATTCGGGGGGGGGGGGGGGCAAAATTTCGTTCACGACTAATGCTGCTCGGGGCAAGCGGAGCAATACAACCAAGACGACCGTGACTCAGGTGTACTCTCCGGCTGATACTTCATATCTCTCCTACCCGGGGTACAAATTGGAACACTCCTTTGTGCCCCGGGTTGGAGTTTGCGTATACGTCAAAGAGGACATCTGTTTTCGACGCCTCGGCAGTCTTGAAGGTACGGACCTGTCCATCCTATGTCTGCGCGTAGACAGCGACGACCATCCCCGCGTCTACGGGTGCCTCTATACGTCCTATAGCGGTAATGCCGACACAGACCGATTCATCGATCATGTCCAAATGGCTGCAGACTCCGTGCTACAACAGGTTCCATCCGCAGAGATTGTGATACTCGGTGATTTCAACGTCCACCACGCTGAATGGCTTGGTTCTCGTTTAACCGATCATGCGGGTAGATCTGTCTATGAATTTGCTTTGGCATATGGTCTAACATAACTGGTTACTTCGCGTACGCGGATCCCAGATGTGGAAGACCATGTACCTTCCCTGTTGCACTTTCTGCTGACCTCACATCCGGACGGATATCTTGTCTCCGTCGATACCCCTCTGGGCTCTTCGGACCATTGTCTGATCCGGAGTACGGTGCCACTCACGCTCCAATCGCAGTTGCGATCTGCAGCTTGCCGCCGTGTTTGGCACTATAGGTCAGCTGATTAGGACGGGATGCGGTCTTTTTTGCATCCTACCCTTGAGGGCAGGTTTGCTTCTCGCCGGAAGATTCCAGCGTTGCTGCCTATTCTGTTGCTGATGTGGTACTTCAGGGTATGGAACTTTTTATTCCATCCTCTGTGGTGCCCATCGGATACAGATCCCAGCAATGGTTTGGTCACTCCTGTAAAATAGCATCACGCTATAAGCAGGAGTGCTACCGGGCTTGGGCTGACGCATCAACGTCTCGGGATGTAAACACCAGCGCACTTAAAAAGAAGTATAATTCCGCCTCCAGTTCCTTCAAAAGCGTCATTGTCAAGGCAAGGTCTGAGCACATCGGCAGAATTGGCGAGAAGCTAGTTCGCCTTCCTTCGAGAATCCTTGCATTCTGGTCTCTCGCCAAGGCTGTCCAAGGGAACTTCTATCAGCCATCTCTTCCATCTCTGCACAGAGAGGACGACTCACTGGCCCATGCCGCAAAGGAGAAAGCCGATCTGTTGAGCTCTCTTTATGCGTCCAACTCGACTCTAGATGACGGGGGGAACACATCGTCGATCATCCCGCGATGTGAGTGCTCCATGCCGAATGTGCGATTTACACAGTGCTCGGTTCGCAAAGCACTCTTCTCCCTGGACATCAGCAAGTCGAGTGGGCCCGATGGAGTCCCTCCCATTGTGCTGAAGACGTGTGCTCCGGAGTTGGCACCGGTGTAAACGCGTCTTTTCCGGTACTCCTACTCCCAAGTCCCAAGGTGTAGTACTGAATTCATGGAAGACAGCTTTGGTCCACCCGATCCCTAAAAAAGGCGACCGCTCAGACCCGTCCAACTACAGGCCTATCGCCATCAACTCCTTGTTCTCCAAAATAATGGAATCCATTATAAACTGCCAGCTCATAAGGTACCTTGAGGATCACCAGCTGATTAGTGACCGCCAATACGGTTTTCATCGGGGTCGATCAGCTGGTGATCTTCTAGTCTATTTAACTCATAGATGGGCGGAGGCAGTAGAGTCCAAGGGGGAGGCATTGGCCGTTAGTTTGGACATAGCGAAGGCCTTCGATCGGATCTGGCACAAAGCGCTTCTTTTGAAGCTTCCTTCCTATGGGCTTTCCGTGAAATTGTGCAAATGGATCACCAGTATCCTTGCTGATTGAAGCATCAAGGTTGTAGTAGACGGTGCATGCTCTGATTTCAAGCCTATCAACGCTGGTGTTCCACAAGACTGCGTGCTATCACCAACGCTTTTTCTCCTGCATATCAATGATATGTTGCTAACTGGTAGCATTCATTGCTATGCAGACGACAGCACTGGTGATGCCTTATATACCGGCCGTGCCAATATTTCTCGGAAAAACGTTGCTGAGTACCGGGACAAACTTGTGTTAGAAGTCGAGTCTTTGCTTAACAAAGTCTCGGATTGGGGCCGACTTAATCTAGTCCAGTTCAATCCTCAGAAGACACAAGTTTGCACGTTTACCGCTAAAAAGAACCCCTTTGTCGTATCTCCTCAGTTTCAAGGCACTCCCCTTGCTGCCTCAGCCAGTATCCGAATCCTTGGCGTCGACATATCAAATAGTGTGCAGTTTCGTGGTCACTTGGAAGGGAAGACCAAATTGGCCTCTAAAAAGCTTGGCGTGCTCAGCAGAGCGAGACAGTATTTCATGCCGGCACATCGCTTGCAACTTTACAAAGCGCAAGTTCGGCCCCACATGGAATATTGTTCTCATCTCTGGGCTGGGGCACCCCAGTGCCAGCTCCTTCCACTTGACCGTATCCAGCGCAGAGCGGTTGGAATCGTCGACGACCGAGTTCTTTCTGATCGGTTCGATACACTGGCACTGCGTAGAGATGTTGTATCTCTTTGCGTATTTTATCGCATCTATCACGGGGAATGCTCTGAGGAATTGTTCGGATTAATTTCAGCCGCTCAATTTCACCATCGCACATCGCGACAAAACTCGCGTTACCATCCATACAATCTGGATGATTGGCGGTCCACCACTGTGCGATTAAGAAGAATTTTTCTCCCTCGCACAACTTCTTTGTGGAATCAATTACCACCAGCGAATTTTCCGGACCGATACGACTTAGGAACCTTCAAGAAAAGAGCTTACACCTTTCTAAAAGGCCGACAATGCATCTGCAATTCCCCTGGTGTTGCGGTTGTTCATGGGCAGCGGTAGTCACTTACCATCAGGTGAGCCGCATGCTCGTTTGCCCCCTATTCTATAAAAAAAAGTAATGATTCGGTGACGGCAGGAGAAGAATTCAGTGACTTAGTGGTTAATATCGGAATATCAGTTAAATATTTCTCAATAACCATTACAACGTCCTGATCTGATTCAGTTAATTTGTTATTTAAACTTAACTGGTCGTTTGAATTGAGAGAGTTGATGTTACCAGTTTCGCTATTAATTATACTCCATGTCATTTTAATTTTATTAGAAGCCGTCTTAATTTTGTTGCTTAAATGCAAAGATTTGGATGTGGAGCACATTCTTTTAAATATTTTTGAATATTTTTTTACATATTCCCTAAATTCGACGCTATGATTATTCGACCTTTCATGGTAAAGATCATATAACGTATGTCTGCTCTTATGGACTCCTACTGTCGCCCATTCGTTAAATGACATCCGACTGTTCAAGGAGAATGTTTTAGAAGTAAAAGTATTATTAAATTCATTGCAAATAAGCTTAAATAACGTTCCATACAATAAATTTGGATCATTTTGGTATGAAAGTGATGGAAGTTTTTTCACTATGTTACCTCTAAATTTCTCCAAGCGACGTGCATTTACTGGAACAAACACAACTTTCTCATCTACTTGCTTTTTGTGAACATAAGGTAACGAAACTACTTGTCCACAGTGATCAGAACTTAATTTTTTAATTATACATTTATGCAACGGCTTCACATTTGTAAAAATGTTATCTATACACGTTGCACTAGATTGAGCAATACGCGTTGGCTCTAAAAACAAATTAAAAAGACCCATATGATTTAAACAATTGTCTGAATTTAATATTGATTGAGGAAGCTTCTAGGAGATTGATATTAAAGTCTCCACATATTACTACAGATTTATTATGTTTATTAAGCTTAGCAAAAACTTTCTCCATAATTTTTTCAAAAGTATCGTATATAGAACATGGGGGTCTGTAGACGCTCACAACAATGAGGTGCTCAATCTCAACACATGCCATTTCTACAGTTCGCTCAACAGAGAGGCCTACAATATCTTAACGTTCTTTACATGACAATAATTTACTAGCTAATATTAAGCAGCCACCTCTTAAAACCTTTTCTCTATTGAAAGAACTGATCACCTGGTGATTACTGAAGTTAAACATTAAGTTATAAGCTTTTAACCAATGTTCAGTAATACATAAAATATGAATATTATTGCTATTTAAGAACAACTCAATTTCTAGCTCTTTGTAACACCAGGTGTAAACAATTTTCATTATCACTCTGTGGAGTCATAAAATAAATATTTGTAAGCTACATTCTAAATTATTTAAATTATCACAACTGCTAGAGATTACCTCTATTGTCTCATTTTCTAATTTAAATTACTTGGAACTGTTTTTAAATTACATATTAAGTCATTATACTGCTCAAAAGGAGCAGATGTCTGTGTAGCCAAGTCCTTGGCTGAGTTAATATGTAAACAATAAGATAGCACATTTGCTATCTGTCTTAATATATATTTAGATAGGTAATACCTATCTCTAGTCAAAAATTTCTTAATTAAATTATTTGTCTATTAAATTAAATTTATTATTATAATTATAACAATTAAATGTCAAGTTTAAATTATTATTACATGAAAAGTTATTCATTAAAATCTTTGTTGGGAGACACTATTGAGGTCATTGAGCATAGTGCTTAGGTCCTCCAGCGATTCTGCCATAAGGACTATATCGTTGGCAAATCGAAAGTGAATGATGTACTCGCCATTGATGTTGATACCGTAGCTTGAAAACGTCTTCCAATGCAGCGATGAAGATTTTCGTTGTATATAACGTCACCCTGTCTTACCTCTCTGCAGTTGAATAGCCTTCGTACTCTGATTCTGTACTCGGATAGACATCGTAGCGCTACTGTAGAAACACTTCAGCACTTCGATATACCGATAGTCAACTTGGCACCGCTGAAGCAACTGTTTCACCGCCCAAATTTCGATGGAATGAAAGGCTAATGATTTCTTATATTTACCAAAACACTACACATTTAAATAAAACTAATTTTACGGATTTTATTGCGTATATTAACTTATTTTATACAGTGGTAGAGCCACGCGGCAGCTTTTGCTGTCGCACGGATGGGCCGGCTCGAACCGGGGTAGTACCACGACCTCACAGAAAACCAGCGTAAAGTAGAGGTTTACCTCTGCGTTTCGCTTGGTGAGTGCAGGTGGCCGGAGGCCCTTTTTACTGGAAATGAGGCATTCCATCTTAGTCCTCACGGGTGACAACGCATCTACATTTTGATTTGTAACAGAGGATAGATGTAGATGTCTATGGGCCGCAGCAACCACTTACCATCAGGTGGACTGTGTGCTCGTTTGTCACCCTTGTCCTATAAAAAAAAAAAAAAAAAAAAATATATTCCCGACGTTTAGATCACTTTACTCGAATGAATGGCTTTCTCATAGTCCACATACACAAGCCAAAGGGTCAGATTGTACTCTTCTGTTTTCTGTACAATTTTCCGAAAAGTGTTTATGTGGTCTATGGTACTAAAAACTCTTCGGAAACCGGCTTGTTCGGAATGCTTGAAGTCGTTGAGTCTGCGTGCGAGACGATTAGTAATGAATCTCGAAAACAGGACGTAGACGCGGCTCAGAAGGGAAATCGGTCTGTAGTTCTAGTAACTAACAGCCCTGAGATTAAGAGTGTGATCGGAGAGTTTTTGTGTTCTTCTGCGGCGGGTTTACAGAACTTTGCTCCACCGCATGGACAGTTTCCATGAGCTTATCAGTCATATCGTCCACTTCATTACATGACAATAATTTACTGGCTAATATTAAGCAGCCACCTCTTAAAACCTTTTCTCTATTGAAAGAACTGATCACCTGGTGATTACTGAAGTTAAACATTAAGTTATAAGCTTTTAACTAATGTTCAGTAATACATAAAATATGAATATTATTGCTATTTAAGAACAACTCAATTTCTAGCTCTTTGTAACACCAGGTGTAAACAATTTTCATTATCACTCTGTGGAGTCATAAAATAAATATTTGTAAGCTACATTCTAAATTATTTAAATTATCACAACTGCTAGAGATTACCTCTATTGTCTCATTTTCTAATTTAAATTACTTGGAACTGTTTTTAAATTACATATTAAGTCATTATACTGCTCAAAAGGAGCAGATGTCTGTGTAGCCAAGTCCTTGGCTGAGTTAATATGTAAACAATAAGATAGCACATTTGCTATCTGTCTTAATATATATTTAGATAGGTAATACCTATCTCTAGTCAAAAATTTCTTAATTAGATTATTTATGTCTATTAAATTAAATTAATTATTATAATTATAACAATAAAATGTCAAGTTTAAATTATTATTACGTGAAAAGTTATTCATTAATAAATTTAAATCATATCTTATTTTATTTTCCTGCGGCCAACCCTGTATGTAAGGCAATGTAAACAAGATAATTTTAGGTACATTTAAAGTATTTAGATTATCAATATATTTTAATAATTGACTTTTGTTTACATTGCCTCTTCTCCCAACAAGAGTTATTAATGTGCTTTTAGGGCAAAATTTACTAGCTAAAACTTTATTCATTATATGACTAAAGGATGCTCCTGTCATGCAATAATTACTGATCATATATCCTTTTAAACAGTTATTTAACATCACGCACAATTTTTTGCCTATGTTATCACAATACATAATAACTTTTTTTTAAATATTTACATTGCTTTATAAGTTTATATCCTTTGTCATGGCACTGTCATAGAGTGTAGGTGAAAATAATGAGTCCTTACTGTTTACTTTGTTATTTACACATATTGTCCCCGATGAACCTGGTATGGAGCGCTGATACTCACTCTGATGTTTTATTAAGAAGTCAAAGCGCTCCTCATTATATTTACATGATTTTACCAGATCATTCATGGCCAATATGTGTTCTTTTATCTCATCTTGAACCGATGCATATTTATTTGATACAATTTGTAGGGAGTTTTTAAGTGACAAAATTGGTGAATTTAGACACTATATCAGTCTCATAACAGTGATTCATATTTTCCACCTCAATTGAATATATTTTAAGTTTATTAATTAATTCTTGCTTTACTTTGCATACATTTATATAATTTTTAACATTAATTTTAGTTTTAATTAATTTTTGCAGTTTTCTAATATATTTATTACGTTTTATATATTTCTTTAATTTGTTTCTACTGCAGGTAGTCCTTGCTGCTGTTCTTGATGTGACATAATCATCACCAGTCAAATCAATTGTTGTGAAGGGTTGCAATGCGTTAGGAGATTCACATTCTATGAGCTCGTTGAACAGACTTTGAGTTTGGGACGCTTTCATGTTGTCTATGTAATGTTTTAATTGCACAATCTGCTCATTAGCCTTACTTAACTCTAACTGCAATGCAGCAATTAATCTGAGGGATTCCTCATATTCCTTGCTGCATTGGTCAAACTCATCGACTGTTCTCTGAAGTTGATCCCTTTCTTTTGAAACAAATGTATATTCTGTATGCAACTTAACCATGTCACTTTTTAGCTCAGTATTTTTAGCTATTATATTTATTATTTCCTTTTCATTGTCATCCTTTTCTTTAATTAATAGCTCACACTGCTACTTTGACGCCTTAAGTTCTTGAAGCGCCATTTGAAGTTGGTTCTTCAATTGGCGCGTTTTGGCGTTGCGTGTATTCATTTTACCATTAAGTGTAAATAGCAAAAGAAAACAACGAAAGAAAACCAAAGAAGCAGAGTAAGCAAATTACTAGATGTATGTGTTCATTTACAGATCTCAAATTAAATTATCATGTAAATAATTCAAAATGAAATCCAGAACAATACTTACTTAATAGGTAAATCTTAAAATGTTAAAGGGATAACAAGAATTACACTTACAGTAAGTTTAAACGATGTTCGTTACAGCTGTTACTTTTGGTTGGAACTTGGAAAACTAAACACAATGTAATTAAAATAGGTACTTCTGACTTGTACTTATTTCATAAATACAAATAAGTCGTATTTAACAACTGTAACTCAAAATTGAGGTGGATATTATCAATTTACAATATTTAATTTTTAAAAATAGTTGAGAGCAATTATTTTACAACTTGTCATCGGGGTTGCCACAGGAAAAAAAAGTAAGTACATACTAACTCTCCAATGCGACTTAAGCAAATTCGTGGAAGCGTATCCTTTACCGCGGACGGACGTTGAAACTGTTCCTAAGTCTTTAGTTAACAATTTAATTTTGCGCTATGGCAAACCCAAACAAATTTTAAGTGATAAAGGAACAGACTTTACGTCTTGAATAATGAGCAAAATTTGTAATTTATTAGGTAATTTATTTATTGTAAAGATACACTCCACTGCGTACCACCACGAGACAATGGGCGTCTTTGGAAAAATTTGCAACATACGAAGTAACTTGTCAAATTCTCTCGATCCTTTATACAACTTCGACGGTTATCCAAAAGAATTGAAGTAACGTTTGCAAAAGGCACGATTAGACGTCAAACAAAATTTAGTAAAAATTAAAGAAATAAGAAAGTTGAAGTATGATAAGAAAGGTAATTATAGTTCTGGCGATTTTATATTAATTTTTTACGTGGTAGAGACATGCTGCAGCTATATTAGTAGTATAGTTGTAGCACGAATGGGTCGGCTCGACCGGGGAAGGACCACGCTCTCACAGAATACCAGCGTAAAATAGCAGCTTAACACTGCTGTGTCTCGTATGGTGAGTGTAGAGAACACGGAGACCCGTTTTACTGGAAAAGAGGCGTTCTATCTTAGTCCTTACGGGTGACAATGCATCTGCATTTTGATTTGTAATAGAGGATAGATGTAGATGTCTACGGGCCACAGCAACTACTTACCATCAGGTGGACTGTGTGCTCGTTTGTCACCCTATCCTATAAAAATATAGGGGCGTGTACCCTATACTTTTCGGGGGAGTTGTAATGTGATCAATATAATACAAGGAAGAAAATGGTCCGACGGGTGTGTAAAATTGAATAGGCTCCCACGGACGTGTACAATTCAGCTTGCGCGGCAATTCCCTCCCCGCATGTGAACTGTTGGTATGAACATTATATTTTCCCTCTTTTTTGAAAATATACCTTGGACTGCCTTATGTGAAACATATCTTTCTAAACTTCTTTAAACTTTAAAACGCTTACATTACTACAATCCTATCACAGATGGTTTTTAGCCATTGGCTAGTGAACGTCGAACATAGAAAAATTATTGTATTATGTTATAAGTTTAATTCTGATGTTCTTTTTTTCTATATTATACTTATGTTGTGTTTTATACTGTAATTGAAATATTTTATAAATTACTCTTTCTATTTGTGTCGTGCTGAACTACAACTATATGTATTTTCTTACTGTCTTTTTTCCTTTAATTTTTAACGTTTTACACGATATTGTTTGATAGGCTTCGCTTAACTAAATACTAACCATTTAGGCGACTGAATCGCTTAGTCCAAGAACCCAGGGCCTCCAGACGTTACGTGTTTTCTGAGTTACAAAATGTGTCGTACAGAGCAGTATTAGTATACACTCTGAAGGTATCATACCAGCCAGCTTGGGCCGGCGGCCAATTTACAGGTAGCTGGTACATGAAAAAAGTTGTCACATTTCTAATAGTCTGAGTGTTGATTTTTACATATATTTTATACAACATTTAAAAAAATTAATAATCAATATTGTCAAAGAGCTGCCGTCGGCGGTAATTCCGCAAGACTTCTTAAATTTTACTTACAGTCTATACTTGATTTTTCTTTACGATATTTAGCGACACATTTTGTTACTCAGAAAATACGCAACGTCTGGCGGCCCTGGGACCTTGCTTTAGCTGAGAGAGTCTTATTTGAAAGTCTTTTTTTATAGAAAAGCGGACAAACGAGCATGCGGCTCACCTGATGGTAAGGACTACCGCCGCCCATGAACAACTGCAACACCAGGGGAATTGCAGATGCGTTGCCGGCCTTTTAGAAAAATGTTAGAACTTTTCTTGAAGGTCCTTAAGTCGTATCGGTCCGGAAAAATCTCCGGTGGTAAACAATTCCACAGAGAAGTTGTACGAGGAAGAAAACTCCTAGTAAAACGCACAGTCGTGGACCGCCAAGCATCTAGATGGTGAGGATGGTATCATGAATTTTGACGCGATGTGCGTTTATGAAATTTGGCGGCTGGAATTAATCCGAACAATCCCTCAGAGCACTCCCCGTGGTAAATTCGATAGAAAATGCAAAGATATGCAACATCCCTACGCAGTGCCAGTGTATCGAGCCGATCAGAAAGATCTAAAAGCATTTATATAATGGATTTCCGCAAAGTAACGCCTGATTCTATTAATCCAAATTTAGTATCAAAATATATTTTGCTTGAAAGCGATAAAGTTACTTGAAACAAAAGACAAATTTACATTAAAAAGTTTCAATGTTGCCAGAAATTGTTTTAAATAACCTCTTGTTCCACTTAATCTTGTCAACAAGCTGGAGCGAGTAATAAACTTTTTAATTTTAGAAAGAAAGTTGTTTACTTAGGTGCGTAAACTTCGAAAAGTGTATTAAAGAAGAATAAGAACTTCTAACGAAAGCTAAGTAACTTAAAAAAATCATATCCAGTACTTTCAAAACAGTACATAATAATAATTTACAGCGTATTACATATTTTATAATAAATCTGTAATTTTAATAGAATAAGGGTGACAAACGAGCATACAGTCCACCCGATGGTAAGTGGATGTTTTGGGTCATACACATCTAGGCAACTAGAATCAATATTCAGGTACATTGTCACCCCTGAGGACTAAGATGGACTACGAAACACTGCAACACTATGCTGCTATTTACCACGCCGGTATTCTGTGAGAGAATTTCTGTATCATCTACCGGAAAGGCTAAACAATGTCTACCGATCCAGCTAAAATTTACATAAAACTCATTAAAGTATCATTTTTTTTATAGAATTAGGGTGACAAACGAACACATAGTCCAACTGATGGTAAGTGGTTGCTGTGGCCCATTGACACCTACATCTATCTTCGTTTGCGAATTAAAATGCAGATGCGTTGTCAGCCGTGAGGACTAAGATGGGATGCTTCTTTTCCAGTAAAATAGGTCTCCGGTTCTCTACACTCACCATACGAACCACAGCAGCATTAAGCTGCTATTTTACGCTGGTATTCTGTGAGAGCGTGCTCCTTTCCCGGTCGAGCCGAACCATTCGTGCTACAACTATACTATTAATATAGCTGCAATGCTATAGTTTTTTATGCTATGCTGTAGTTTGAAATAGAGACGCAAAGAACAAGCTCTAATTATAAAGTATGTAAAAAAGATATGTAAAGTAACAGCCTATTTACACCCCACACTCCTGGGCACAGGCCGCCTCTCATTTTTAACAGGGTTTTTTTGCAAGATAAAGTTCACCCCGTTGCCCCAACGTGTTGGCGGACTTCCCACGTCTATACATATTATTGTTTTTTAATTACTCAGTCATGCAGGTTTACTTACGATGTATTCCTTCACCGCCTCACACGTGGTAAATGATCACTTAAAAATGCAATTTACAATTTCATTAGTGCCTGCGGGAATCGAACCCGGGTTGCTCGTATACTATAATATTTACGGTGAGCGCCCCTGAGCTACTGCTACTAAAAGTTAAAACTTACTGAAACAAATGTTTACGCGTTTTAAGAGCCTTTAAAAGTGTGAAAATAAAATAAAATGTCGCCGTCGAAAATAGGGCGCGCCCTCGTTAACTCATTAAGCAGTTAATATAATATAGCCTTAAGCAAAGGGTTTGAGTGAATTAAAAAATTTCAAGCATGCTTTAAATAAACAGCTGTATTCTCTCACACATTAAACCAAACGTTAACTAAATTAAGAGGTTTTTTCTTGCTAGTTATTCAACTTTGCCCTTAACTAATGATGTTTTGTTAAAATAAATAGGCTATTGAAATCTAATATTTAAAATATGTTAATGGCTTTGCAAATAACCGTCTACTTTAACACCTCGTTAAACTTTGGAATTTCGTAGCCTACTTCAAAATAATGGCGTTATGTTTAAAACCACTCTATGAACCGCGCTCTGTTGTTCTCACAGGCGATCACGGCTACAACTTACATACCCTACAACTTATATAGCCGTGTCGTGGCGGTGTAAAAACATGCACTACCCCATAACGTCCCAAGGGAGCGTAAGAGGCAATAGAGGGAAAATGAAACACGATATGGGCAGCAGCTTCTTCCTGATAACTGCTGAATAGAAATAAAAAAATTGCAGTTGCTAACTTGCTCATCCAGCCTGTCAACTCTGGCAAATATCCCAATTGCCAAATAAGGCAAACTAGAGGGAGAGGGGGGGGACCTATGGTCAGGAATGGACTTTTGAAAGACTGTAATGGTATTAAGGTATAAACCGTGGTGGCTCAAATGAAAAGCGATCGCCGTGAATTTCACAATAAGTTAGCAAGCTGAGTTCAATCCCCTGGTTCTATTTGTAGAATTGTGAATTGGCAATTTTGAATGCTGGTACTTATATTATCGTAGTTCTTTGAAATTGGCTTTATTTTAAAAAAAAAACTCTTTGGAGTAGACTAAGAAATACCATAATCTTGATGTGATATACTTGTACACAAAAATTTCATCACCTACTTTGTAATCCTTAGGCGTAGATATTTTTCTCCATGTTTATATGGAACCACCCCTTAAGTATTAACTATTTAATAAAAATAAGAATAATTAAAATCGGTTCTGAATTAATTTATGCTTGTTACAAATAATTATACCGATTACTTAACTAAAGCACTTACTGGTCTCATTACATAAAATTTTATTTTAATAATATAATAATAAAAGTATAATCAAACTATTGTCATATTCAAACAATTTAAATTGCTTGGAAGTAACTATTTTGAAGAATATTTCACTCAGGGTTAAGTCATTGTACCCATATTTTAAGTGTAAGATAAAATAAATAAACAAATGAAGTCCTAAATGACCGTCTAAACAAGACAAAAAAATTTAAGAATTAACAAAAACAATACCAAAATTTTTTAAATACAAAACACAAATAACACTTAAATTAAAGAAAAAGTTTACTTAAAAAAAGTACCTGAAGCCAAAATATCAGGGAGGCGACAAGTAATGAGTACAATTCTACCCATAGAAAACAAATAAAAAAATCGATATCGTTATTGTAAAAACTTTACCAGTTAGGTACATCTAAGTTGAAACCAACTCCGTCTAACTTCGAGTTTTATTGCCGCTAAGAGCCCTTGGTTTTTAAGTTTTCT